ACATATCGGAAAATTATGGTGAACAAAGACGAGCGGTCGTCATAGAGTTCAATACAACATGACGAGTTTACGCGCTACAAGCACCCTGCCTGCGCAAGAGTGGGGACAGACCGAGCCTTAAAATGTTTATTTTATTCGTAATCGAGCCCAAACGAAGTGCCGAATCTTTTTATAGGCATGATTTAAAATTTAATTTACTGGATAACTGGATATCGGCAGGTTTCTGAACTCCGAACCAGTATGCGGCGAATTTAGCGTGTATTTGCTTTGATTAAAAGTTTACTTGCTAAAATCGAATTGCTTATCGTAAGTAATACAGATGATGTACAGTTCTAGAAAACGTTAAATAAACGATGACTTCTTTTCTAGCACATTTATTTTGGACTAGCTGTGCCCGCGACTTCGTTCGCGTGGAATAGTGACTTGGGGTAGAATTTTTTATTATTTAGGCTGTATATTAATTTATGTAATTGCGTATTTATCGCAGCCAATCTATGTTGTAAGTGCTACTTTGTCGCAACACTATCACCTCACATCACTCCCACTCCCAGTCCCAGTCCCAGTCCCAGTCCCAGTCCCAGTCCCAGTCCCAGTCCCAGTCCCAGTCCCAGTCCCAGTCTCAGTCCCAGTCCTATTCTCAAAAAGCCAAAGAAGAAAGTTTCAATGTTCTATCTTCAAAAACCACGAATTTTCATACAAACTTTCACCCCCCCTTTTAACACCTTACAACCCCCTTTTCGCAATAAAAGTTTTGGCGTGAAAGAGTAACAGACAGACAGACAGAAAGACAGACAGACAGAGTGATTTTCGCATTTATAATATTAGTATAGGTAGTAGGTAGTAGTAGGATAATGATTAAAAAATGAGGGCTTCGTCCACCGCTTGTGAACAACTGTCTGCACTCTTTTAGGGACAAAAAACGTCATAACATAGAATCGAACAAATAAAAAGGCCTTTCCAACCTAGAAGAATGTTCTGATTTTGTGAAACAAATTAAATTAATTTGATTAAGTCATACGATTTGGAATCTGCGCTCGAGTTGAGTAGGCGAACTGGTCGAGTTAAAACTAGAGGGCCCAATTACATAGCAATGATGCGTAGGCTCATTTTCACAGTGATCAAAATCTACAGATTAGTATAGTAACATCACCTAAGGCTATAAACATAAGTAAGTATTTATATAAAAATTGTCTTTACAGCAATAGGATAAAGATTGCTGTATGTGCAATTTACACATATTATACTCGTAAATAATTTTAACATTTAAACTCGGAATAATTTTGTGGACATCCTTTTCACTTATGTAGAAATTAAATATCTTAATATACGTATTTTTTTATATAACATTCACTGAAGGAATACAAGAAAAATGTATGTTGATGTATGCTAATAAAATCAATACAACATGCATGAGTTACCCACACAGTATGTGTCAAGTATTGGACAATGTGGATAAATATTATGGAATCTTAAGTAGTTTTGTTGTAACTCACTTGTCAGACTAGTTTTTTGTTACGTAAATTACATGTAATAAACTCATAAAGAACATTGTATAGTCTATGGTACTTAGTATTCACAATATTGATTAGTTTTTTGTCTATATCTAGATTAATCTTTCATTTTGATTGTGGTTTTAGCTCAGTTGTAAACAATTTGATTAAATTCTTAGGGAATCGTGTTGGATTCTTTGGGCGTTGGGGCACATAAGGGCAAGATCAATTACTAACAATTCAATGAAATTTATTGATGCAACGCTAACAGAATTGTGTGTTAAATTTTAAGTATTTAAAACAATATCTTGAGACAAAAATATATAGTGAATTCCGCTTGCCCCCGTGAGGCGTTGGGTGGATATTTTTCTGTATCCGCTTCAGTGATCTGTTCTTTTACAGGTAATCGATTGTTTAACCGAGATTCGAACTCAGTACCTCTTAACGCAATGGTAGCAATACGTTTAAACATTGGCTACAGAGGCGGTTAGAGTAACAAAATAAATTATTTTTAATTAAATAAAACACTTTAACGGTTTAAAACGCGACTAATATATCGCGTTAAACTTATTTGAAAATGATTTTTAACTTCGGCCCGACGTTTCGGATGCTTTGCAGCAGCCGTGGTCACGGGGAGACTCTCCGTGACCACGCACGTTGCACATGATGGCACTATATGAATTTAAAATCGATTTTAACTGAAAAAAAATACAACTCAGGACTTGAACCGGCACTCTTTAGATTTTTTATTTAACTTGGTAGCTTAATCGGTTAGAGCTGGCACTGCAACTAACACCACGAAATACTATAGATGCCAGTTCAAGTCCTGTCCGAGTTGTAATTTTTTCAATTAAAATCGAAAAAATTCTATCAATTCATTTTATATTTTCTTTAATTTATATTTTCATTTTTTGTGTATGTCATAGATTCTTAGTTAATACATACCACATCTAATTGTAAAAAAAATAGGGCAGCTGCCTTAAATCATTTTTAAGGACGTAGCTACCACAGAGTAATAAACGTAGATCCCGTATATGGTCCGCGTAGGCTTAGGTAGGATTATAATATTATTATACCAGTTAACACAATGTAGCGTGGGCTTCGTTGGGTGCAAATTTGGCACAACTAGCACCTAACAATGCTATAAAAAGCGATTGAGGTATAAACTGTGAGTCAACTGACGTGAAGTTTACAATTTCAAAATTCGAAACTGGCCAAAAGTTAATTCGAGAACCAATTATTAACACAGCGATAAACTATGACTAGAAAGCAATTTGAATACTGTTTTGGTTGAGTCCCACATCTGGGTACAGGTCTCTCTCATGGAAGAGGATTCAAGTATACATATAATATGTAAAATATAATAATAACGTGCTGCTTAACTTCTGCTGCAGCTGGAGTTTGAAGACTACCAACTTGTTGATAAGGACGTCGTCATACGACTTAAATATTCTCAATAATTTCTTGTAGTAGTTCATTTGTAGTATTTAGTAGTTCTATGCAGGTTTCTACTAGAACTTTTCTTAATAAAAATACAAATATTTATTTGAATAAACACTTGAAGTTAAGTTAAAGTAAATTTTAATGTGCGCGTTAATATATCGCGTTTAAACCGTTAAAGTGTTTTATTTAAATGTGTACTACTCGCGTAAACTATAGACAGTATTTAAAATACTTTTAACTAATTCACCCAGACCTGGATATAAACCTGGGACTCCGTGATTCGCTCCATCCCATCCCATCTCATCCCATTTGTACTTTTGACGCGATGGTCGCCTGCGCTAGACGCGTGAACGTTCGCATCGCGCGAATAATCACTTTTGCGAGTTTTCCATGGGCAAGTTGTAAATGACAGTATGGCAATTAATGAAGGCAATTGCGGAAGTAATACTTAACTTGAGGTCTACAGACTTGTTTGTCATCTTTTCAAGGTCCATAATTTCCACCCACAGATAACATCGGCATGCAACTGGATGTAAATTGATGTCATATCATTTAGAATTCCACATAAGAGTTAATTATGTTAAACTATACCAACATGAGTTTGCATACCGGGCGATGTGACTGCATTTCTTGACAAATGTAATGGAGCCAAGATTATAACTAGTAGCGTCCTTAGAAGTCGCTTAAAAGATGTAGACGTGCAAAAATAAGAATATTTATCATATATATTTACAAACCAAGTTATTTTTTTAATTGTATTTAAAAAATATATATATAATTTTTAACTACGACATTGTTAGTCGATTTTTACAATTCAAATCATTGTAAATTTCAGACATGTCGCCCGGAAAATCTGAATGGTAATTGGGTAGTTGGAATAACAAAATTCCATCAGTCTCTTAACACGATGTGATAAGTTGGTGGAAGATAAGGTTAAGTTTACCTGAAGCCGCTTACGGCTTCAATCTGTAGATTGTAACACACTATTTCTAAGAACAACATATAATTGTCCTTAGAAAATGTACCTTTAAATAAAACAGTTATTAAGGATATCCTTAGGAGACATACTTATACCTTTTCGGACAATTTTTTTGTTTTTTTCAAAGTCTACAATCATGCAGTGATACATTATTTTGATATATCTCATGGAGTTCAACCAGCGTTTGTATGAAGTGTGTTAATTTACATCACATTAAAACCCTCTAAATTTATCAGTGTTGCTCCAAAGTAGTATGCATGTATTTTTCTACTTAAAAAAAATGCTACAGAATAGATTGCGTAATTTTTCAGATTTAAGCATACAATAGGGACGGACAGACACCGACAAGAAAACGAAGATTCTCATCAACAGAAACTCCTTTTTATGTACGTATATTATATGTATAAAAAATCCAGTAACTTTTAACATTATTGATTAAATTTATTTGAAATTAATCGTACATTTGACGCAGTCTTTTAATTTGTCCCAGTGCCAGAAACTTGAAGCTACTGTTTCTATCCATATTGCGCATATCTCGAGCATGCCTTAATTACATACTTAACCACAACCTGTTAACGGACGTCTGCCACAAAAGCATACACACTGATCAAACAAGGTGAGTACATATTGTTTTTAATGTCTGAATTTCCAAATTTAAAGCCATTTGTATTGTTTAAGTGAGTCAATATGGAGTTTGCCCATTTTAGTACGCCTCAGATAATGTCCCGTCAGTTCCAATATTGACACAAAGTTGAATCACGTTATTGTGATTCAACTTTACGTTAATTATTATATTACTATTAATATTGGAAAGGGATAACTTTTTTTTAAAACAAGGTATAAAAATTAAAAGTAGATATTGTATAATGAGTATATATTAAAAAAAATATATATATATAATTGTAACTATATAATAAAAATAATCTCACCAAAACTTATTTTTCAAATAATGACCCAATACCAACATATTTTTTTTTCTGTACTCAAAACTTTTTGAGTCCCACTGCCATCTATTGAAAAGTTTTGAACATAAGTCAAATGATAACGCTAAGTATAAAAAAAAAATGCAATTCGGATCACAGATGTCGCTACTGATCCTTAGACTTCGTCTTCATAAGGATTGCGTGCTTTTTCAACGACAGATATCCAAGGCAAGAATTTACGACATAAGTAGAAACACAGACGATACAGAAGTCGTGAAGTACGAAGATTAGGAGGTATGCTAAATAAATGCAGGTGACAAGAGATGAGGCTTCCAACAACAGTTGAAACCGCAGGACTAGCACGTTGTCATAAGTACCTGTAAAAAAGGATACAATAAATGTTGAGTTTTTTATTCTGCAGGATACTTGTACAATACATATTTAGTCATACCAAGTTGCAAATCTTTCCGTACGTTAAAAACTGTATTGCTTTTCACACGATGACACTATATTATAGGTAACTTAAAAATCATACACCACCATCCACAGCGTTTCGTACTGTTCCTCTAACAAAGACATGGTAGCTCAATTGCACAGTTTAGATCAACAGCACGGAACACTATGGATGCCGGTTCAACCCCTGGTCGTGTCGCTGTAATTTAAAACCTATAATCAGTATTTTAAAACAAAAAGCGTTATCATTTATCATGAAATAAATATATACCAGTGAACAGTTCAATGTACGAGTATTATTTATATTCTACACTAGTAATAGGATGATTACAAATGAAATAAAATCATTTTCAACTAATTTCCCAAATGCGTTTGCTGTAGAGCATCCAAAACGCCGTATTCTTGTTATAAATAGATTACACGGAAATATAATAAATAATATGTTTCTGACTGAAATAATAACATGATTCTTATGTAACTGCGATTGAGAGCTAGAGCAAATGCTACGAGAAATAGTTTCTGGCTGAATCAGAAATTCCAAGACAAACAAAGCAGCATTTGACATAATTCAATCAGCATAAATACTTGGCTAAGTGCACTCCCAACACAGAATGTTCTATTCATGTTTCCCGGGATTATCGGCAAGTGTACATTTCCGATAACTGTTATTCGCAAGTCGTGAGCTACCATATAAGAATGAGAATAGCGCCTTAACTTACTATCTAGGTAGTGCGGAGCGGCGGATGCAAACTGGCAAATTTGAAATTACCCTCCGGAAAATGAAACCTCGATTGTTTTATGTTTACGTAACTGTAGTTAATGTTTTTGATGTTTACTTTATGTAATTATGAAAGATTTTGAAATACATAAACCAGTGAAGTTTAACTATACAATAGATTTTTTCAGTTTAGTTCTCAGAGTGTAAACTCACTATTTAAGATGCCTATGTTGTGCGAGTAAATTGATCACTTATTACCTATGTATGATATCTCGTATAATATTATTACAAAGACCAAATATCGGTGGGTAAGTATAAATATATGTATTTATTTATTGTTTGTAAATATATTAAAAACTAACAGATTCTTTGTAAAATTAAAAAATACGTGTGTGTCTGTGAGTGAATCTACTGCTCTATTAAAGATCACAAACGTTTGGGCGATTGTTGGGGGCCGAAACAACAACGACGACGTTATATAACGAGACATTACAGTCCATTAAATAAACACGACAATTTAATCAAATAACTAGAAATAATAGCGCAATACCATTAAACAAACAACTATAATTTAAATAAACCAAAAACAATGGAATGCGACAAAATGATCAATTCAACGGTATCATTAGTGTCGTAATCACACAGAATAGACGCAACACGACGGTCGTAAATAACAAACGGCTGCCGACGTCGCGTTTTTGCCTTTTATGATGACATCTCAATTTGAGAAGATAATTTTATGCACATGCCTCGCTCGGACCGGTCCTGTTTATTGTTTTTGTGTGCGATTGTACCACGATAGTTTTTAAATTATACGCCCGAGTGTACCGTTTTTCATTGCGTTATTTTAACGAGCGAGAAATAAACGCGCTATTGAATTTAATCACGCGATAAGTGGCGTATTTGTGGAAATGCAAAATTATTAATTAAAATCAAAGCTTGTACGTTATTAGCGCTTTTAAATTGTGAATTACGGGCGTTTATTATTAGAACGCTTTAAACCTTACTGCATTAAGAATACTTGTGAAGAATGTATTTACTAATATTAGTATACTAAGAAACAGATAAGCATCGTAACGCGTTACGCAAGCAAGTTGTTTCCAATAAGATAGCTTCATAAATTATATTATATGCATGACCGAATAATAATTAATTTTTGCAAAGCTCGCCACGGACTAGCAAAGTCTTACGTATGTTTTGAGAAATAACCGTGTAATTATGTAAAAGAATACTTACTCAAAAAAATTATGATACAATAGAAGAGAACGCCGTAAATGCAATTCGGTAGTTGAAATGTGGAGGTCTCCGGCAAAAAACCGAATCCTTTTGAATACCTGAAAATAACAATAGTTGCTCCTTATTGTTGATGAGATTATTGTTGGTTAGTCATTATTATTTGAGGGAGGTGATTAGGCCTAAGTATTAAGGTATAGGTAGGTATAGGAAAGGTAAGCAAGATAAATATATCTTAAAAGGAAAGAGATTCGTTTTTTTAATACAAAAATACGTTGATACGGCCGAGACTAAAGCTACGTTTAAATAAAACACTTTAACGGTTTAAAACGCGATATATTAGTTAAACTTATTTGGAAATGTTTTAATTAAAAGTCGTCCCCTAAAAAAGATTAAACGGATATTTACTAAGATTCGAAAATGGAATTCGACATTTTAAAAGTATTTACACTTGCGACCGCAGTCACACAGTATGAATAAATGTTGGAGTCGACATAAGCAATGGTTTTTTGTTAAGTTTGATACTCGTAAACTGCCAATATATTTTTTGCTTCCTTATCGAGGAGCAGCTGTTCTTTTATTAAAGTGGTGCAGTCAGAGGGGTCTTTTGACTTAAGAATTATGTTCCTTATTATCTGTATAAGCGCCGATAAAAGTCATTTATTTATGTTCTGGTACCAACACATAGTAGTAAGAAAGTGACACTGACGTAAGTATCTACACTGCCTGGACACTTAAGAAAAAAAAGGAAACAAAACAGTACTTGCCATGTTTTACTATATTAAAATGGCAGTAATATTTATTTATTAAAATTGCTCGTAGATTTAGCAAGGTTTCAGATGGCAAAAGGGCTTTCAGCAAACTAACGCATTAGTTCTGGATGACAAAGAAACGGAAACATTCGATAAGTTATGGCAAGGTTAAAACGGCTACAGTTGTTTAATGAGTTAAGTGCTAACAAAACCGCAGGCATTTTTTCCGACAAATTCAATTTACTATAAGTTAGTTTTCTCATAATTAAGACGCTTAAATTTTTGAACGGCACACTAAACGGTCTATGATAATAATGGAGAAATTATAACGACTTGCGTTACGTCCAAAAAATATTATTATACGCAAGCCTGTTGCCTACATTCATCTACATATAGTTTAGATTTTAATCTTTATGCTAGGTACACCAAACTTACTCAGATGTTAGGACCCTTGAACAGCTCGCGTGCTCTGCAAAGTCACAGAAAGCCTTGTATCCAGGTCGGCTTTCCGCTGCCATTTCCACATAGAGAGTGTACGTGGATATGAGAATACCCATGATTCCAGTAAGAATAAGGAGACGGTTGACGCTTTGCACCGCCATTGGGACCTGTAACGAAAAAGCAGTGTCAAAAGTCTCTAGGTATGTGATAGTACGGAATCGATGCACGTATTTTTTAAATTATAAATATCGAAGTTTGTACCAAATAGAAGTTTGTTTATTTTCGTTTTTTTATGGACATACATTGTGTACATCTTTTGTCTAATTTATAATGGATATAACAACCACTACTAACTATGTATTTCTATTTTCTATAATTTCCTAATAGTCAGCTGTCTTCATTGTTAAAAGAAATACTATAATTATTTGTCTTACACAAAAACATATTTATTAATTAAATCTAAAGTCGCATCATTAAAATTTTAAACCCTTGCGAGTCAAATGGGTACTTATAGTACTTGAAATCGACGTCTGAAGGGGAGAATAGTACCCTAACGTATTACTTAATGGTATAAAACGAAATTTTTAACACGACAAGCATACAAATTATAGCTATTTCTGCAACCCTTCATGAGGTATCTACATTGTACAAAATTATGAAGTTTTGCATTTATGAAATGGGAAGTTTTAGTTTCCTTTAATAATTATTATTATTGTATTATTTTAATTCGTTAAATTGAGATAAAAAAAATTAAATATACAACAACATAGGAACATAAAATTTCATGTGGCACACAACCATTTTGTGCAATATGAAATTTACTTTTCTTAATTCTATTTAATAACTTTTATGTATTTCTTAATCAAGCAATACCTCCACACTGGTCCACAAGCCTCCATCGACTATAACTTCAAAGTACGAATTAGTGAGAAAAGGGTTGACTTTATTTGTCCAGGAAGATAATTTACACTCTATTTAACACATTAAATATTCATACAATAATGAATATTCAGGCCCGTCACATACATCGTCTAAGATTGAATAATAAAACAGAACCATTACGGTTCTGTTTTATTATTAGCATTTATGTTTTTTCAGTAAATAATAGTTTTATTAGTTATTTAAGTAAGTTTCGTAAACAGAAATAATGTAAGTATAGCTTATCTACACAATAAATGAGAATCTTTAACGTTATTGTAACATAGGCATAAATAATACTAATACTATTAAACATTAGTATTTTTAAAGTGTAAAATATGAAGGCAAAATAGTATGTACTTGTATAAACTATAAAATATAATACGTGGGTATTTTTTTTACATTACCAAATAACCAATAATTATTGTGACGGATAGATGGCGTTTAAAGCAAATTTAGAAAATCATTCTTGAAGGCGCCATCTATCTACGCAAATGTTATACTTCTTCTACAAATTACATTGTTTAGTTATTATTTTTTACTAGCTCAATATGAATTAAAGTAAATAATCGGTTAAAAGAGTGCTCTTAGTTCTGCATTATAACGTACATATTAAAAAAAAAAATATTTTTAAAGCAATATGTCATTCACGTCACAGGTTATAAATTTATAATGAGTACCAACATAATAAGCAACCAGTCAAATAAAACTTATTCTGTATATCATTTAATTTAATAAACATTTTGTGAGCCCCTGTGCCAGCATTTCTCATTTAATTTTTAAATAAGAATATTAAAAATAAAAGCATAAAATATACAACTTACACACAAGTTTAATATGTAGGTCAAATCGTCTGTTTTGGAATTTACTATGAAGAAAGAGAGCACAATATGAGAAAGAAGCGTGAAAACTGTTGCCACATTGCCAATGACGCCCGATTTTGCGGAATGTGTACGCGTTATGTTGGCACCACTGTTTTAGTTCACCATCGCGACCGCAACGCAGCGTTGGCGTCGAGCAACACCTTTCATTGTATTGACTATTGACTGATTCTGAACATAGAGAATAATGTACAAAAGTAATTTATCGTTTTATTGTACTAGTTCTTGTTAAATTATATTGTAATATATCTTAGTTTAAGTGTAAAAATGTTTCCGTTTACGTAAAAGTGAAAGATCCCAGCCCGTCGAGTGCTACGCGGCCATTTTACTTGCAATGCGGCAACGGTGTACGGTCCGCCATTGGAAACGGCCAGTGTCTTCTGTGTGCAAGATTTGTATTGTGAAGTTTTCGGTTTAGAATCATAGGATAACCATGTGTGATAAAAGTGTAGTGCGGATTTTAGTGAAGTGAAGCACGGTGGTCGGGTGTTTTAAATAATGTGTGAACGATGGAAAACGAAGTAAAGCAGCGCAATCAGCGAAACAGGCGAAGGGAACGGGCTCAGCGCATGCAAGCACAGAGAGAGAGTAAGGCTAAAGATGGGGACAGTGGCGAGGACGAGTCCCCTGCGAGGGAAAAACCTCCTCGCCCTGTGGCCAGGCGAAAGAAGTCCAAGGAGCCTCTGGCCGAGGAGGACATCATCGATGGTTTCGCCATAATGGCATTTCGCACCTACGAAGATCTCGAGGTGAGGTTTTATGGATCTGTTTTTACTACACAAACAATGGTTATTATCCTATGTTAGATCTTCTGCTTTTGTCTTTGTATGTTTATTATGATTCGTTTACACAAACCGATATAATATCTAACGATAACGGCATATATAAGGCAATAATAATAAAAAAATACTAATCCAACTATCGAGTTACGTTAATTGATAGAGGCGATAGCAACAAACTACGAAATTACAATAAAGGTGAACCCATTGTCAATATTATTCCATTTATGTAATACAATATACATGATCGTGAAATAAACATTTATAGCGAGCCTCGTTATGAATTAATTAACTTTGCATTGCTAAATAGTGTTCCTTTTTATGTGTGTATACACATTATAAAAACGTCGCTCTGTAGTTGCTTCGATGACGTTTCGGAAGTGCATTGACCTATTGAAGACTAACACATTCTTATTTAGAAATTTTTATACTTTATAAGTATTTTAATGTTGCGTAGGCGATATTATTAACGGACCATATGTGTAGTTAATTTGTAATCAGCACATATATGCACGGCTATGCATCTTGTGTCACGCAGCTGACGGCGAATGCTAAGACGGCTAGTAAGCCGTATAGCCGCGGTCTCCCGCTAAGTGTAAATTCGTACTAAGTGGCTACTGGCTTTCGCTCGTTTGCGCTCATTTATCGCGCCGCCATGAACGACATTATGTTTTGTATGTCGAAGAATCCTATGAGCCAATAAAACTTAAGTTGTGCGCTATCTTTCTAAATTATGGTGACAGGCGTACAGTTTGTGGCTTGTTTAAGCCTTGCGCACGAACGTTATAGGCTCTAAAACAGGTTCCTTTGCTCCTATTTAATTCACCACATGCAGTGTGCAACATTTATGCAATTTCTGCTTACAATGGCTGTAACTTAATTTTCTACCCGAAACAGGTTGTTGTGGAAATTGCACCAACTGTTCACTGTAATGTATGTGGTTATGCACAAAGACCTCCAATTGTATACAGGAGGTTATAATAACAGCTTATTAAAAGTTTACCATCTTTCTTTCCACGTCATGTTACTAAAAACAAAATTTACCTACCTAAATATTAAGAAATTCTATCTATAATATTAAGACTAACATTTTAGCTCGCATAAATAGATATATTTAGTTTAAATTGCTTTACTAGTGGATTCAATATCAGTTTGTAGAAATGTAGACCATATGAAAAAATAATTGTACAACTGTGGTCACTTTTTGTTACCTTGTCTATAAAATAAAGGAGTATTTTAACACTTTTGCATTGCAGTATTAGTGAATAAACATCCAAAATTTTTCTTATTTGTTTTAATGACTAGATAATACTACTGAAATAACAATTTTATTTTCCAATTAATTATCACAATTATATTCTTAACCTTGTCTCTTTAGTTAAGTGTTAATGTAACAAAAAATAGCACATATTTGTAAGTTTTTATCATAATTAACAAAGCTTTAATAGATCTTAAATTAGCAACACAATATCTTCGGAGTTATTTTAATTTTTGGTATTCACATATAGATATTTATTTTCTTAGCTTATAATTGTCGTGATTTTAATCACAGACTCAATATTAAGATATTTTAATGTCAATACAAAGTATTGATTGATTAAGAGTACTTACTTAAATGAATAAAATAATATGTACTTCCAAGAAATTAAAATTAATGCTGTAGGGCAACCCTGTCGTGATTTTAATTGCCGCCGAGTCGAGGTGAAGTAAAGTTATACGAGCATGACCGTGTCATCTGACGCCCGCGGAGCGGCGAACTATAAACACAATGAGTACTTGGCTAATGATTTTCCCACGGCTACCGAGCTCCCGTTTCGCCTTGAGGACATTGTAAATTAACTGCATCCCCTTGCCGTCTGGTTATCATCCAATCACTCATGAAATTATCGAAGATAGTGTGCAATTAATAATAATTGAGCCAATGTCACTTCAATTACTTAAAGATAATTATTTAAGAAATTAACACCTCTTATCTTAGTAATGGACTATATAATCTACGTAAAGCTCTATCATAAACTTGGCGTGTTTACTCTGCTTATACTGAACATCCACCTAATCTTATTAAAATGTAAAGTGAAGCGTGGTAAAAACTAATTTGAAAAGTTTGACAAGCTCCATCTACCTGATAAGCGGTCGAGATTGAATCTGGCACGGATAAGTTTGCCAGCGTGAAAATACACTGCCGACGAATTCGCCGAGCTACGGTTTTTGCTTATAAATGAGTTTGCAATATTCCCAATTAAATATTTATTCGCCACGCTCGATACGTAATAAAAACGAATGTTTATAAAGAAACCTTGCACAAAAAATATAATACAATTATAAGAAAACAAAGCTAATGTGCTATTCAAATATAATGAATTATTACTCGATTGTTACAGAGGCGCGCTGTAAAAAGTAAACAATATGTACATTAAATCTAATGGCCCTTTAACTAGGTACTTACCACCGAGAAGGGTGCATTGTATAAAATACACATGCAGTTAAAACAACAACGATAAATATGAACCAATATCAATGTTGTAACTAATAACAGAATTGAACACATAATAGCCAGGCCAATTAGAGTTTATACTCGGCCAATATCCGTACGGAATTGTATGTATCTATCGGTCAAGTACACGGTGCTTCTGCCCCTCGTAGAATCCCCCTACTGTAGAATGTTCGCACGTAGTGACATAAATACTTGGAGAAAAAGTTCGAACCGCTTCCTTCCGCTTTTATCGCCCTTCAAGCTCGTGCTTCTTGAATTTCAACTCGAAACTCGATTGTCAACAAAACTATTAACTACGTAACTTCGAGTTTTGAAGCTATCACCGAGGTAGACGAAGCTATTTCGATGATATTTTGTTAGATGTACCTTTGATATTACCCTGTTGAACCGTGGTATTGTAGTTATTTACACTAATTGTTTAACTTTACGAAGATCATGAATAAGAATGTTCGATAGTACTCAAGTAGAATACTAATATACAGAAGTAAAATCATGCGATATAGTACCACCATTTGTTCGAAAATATTGCAGAAAAATAGCTTTGTCGTAAACGCAATGGGGAAAGTTTGATTTCCTCGTACTTTCTTTAAATCGTCGAGTTCTCTTAAGCAATAACTAAATACTCTCATCTTGAGCATGTGTCCAGATTAATTTGTTTAGGTAACTTTAAAAAACCTTTTTCGTAAAGTAAATTACTTAGGCCGATAGCTATTCAGTTATACAATACTTATGACACTAAATCAAAACAAACAAGTTCATTAAACCACACAGAAATGATATCAGAACATTAATAAGTCGTTAACGTCAGATCTTTAATTATAAACTTGAAATAGCTTTACTGTTTGTTAAATCTAAAGAGATATTTATTAAAAAATCATTACCGCAAGTATATTGGAGTTGTTACCATTCTTTACTTGATTCCATTACCATTTTTTACTTTCACTCAATACTTGTCACCGTCGTTCTTATTTGCTTCGAATTAAGATATATTGGCCGCATCTGGATAATTGTTATATGGGACAAATAAAATTACTTTTCACACAGTCGTCGGTCATATTTCACATTTAATTTGTTTAAATATGATTGATGTATATGATAAATATGACAGATGTATTTTAACGTATCGAATCTAAGTCTGTCTGCTATCTTATTTAAAGATTAAATTTCTAAATAACGACCATTTCTTATAAAGTTTAAACATACAAAATTGGCTGCAATTTAACAGTCTAACAGAGTTACTTAAATCTATTGAAGTATACAAGAATGAAAACGACTAATTGCCCATTCAACGCGCAATTAAACACGGTAACAGATATACAATGCACCTGTTATTATTATGAAAGGACTGTAAAAACTTAATAGTTTTCGTGTAAAACTTGACTCGTTGAATGGAATGCAGTAAACAATACAATATTAACTCACTTATAGGTTTATTACCTCATTAATTTATATTACATGTTAATAACAACGCTGTTATTTAGAAAAAAACGTTACTTAAAATGTGGATGTTAAATGCTAAACATTAAAACTCCTAATACAATAAGTACACAATCGCATTGATTCGATTTCCGCGCTTGAATAAGATTGCTCGGTTTTAATAATATGCCTTCAGTGGAAGGTACGTAAGTTATTCATTGGTTTGTGAAAGGCATGAAAAGCGGCGTCCTTAGTGTCGCCTACAGCTATTGGAAGTTAGCTCTCTTTATCATGCAAATCGCGGCGAGACTCGATCGAATGCCATCCACTTGACTAGACTCGAGATGATGGAATAGATCACGAAAGTATACTTGTAATAAATCTGCGCTTACCTTTTTATTGTGTCTTGAATTACATTATAGGACTCTTACATCCCTCAGTTTCGTTACCTTTACGTTTCTGGTTTTACCCAAGAATAATTTATACCAATATTATAAAGCTGAAGAGTTTGTTTGTTTATTTGAACGCGCCAATCTTAGAAACTACTGGTTCGAATTGAAAAAATATTTTTGTGTTGGTCTAACCAACACAAAAATATTTTTTCAATTATTGAGGAAGGCTAAAATAAAACCTATACCTATAAAATCTCAGGAAAAAGCAGAGAAAACGAAAACGGTTTAAGATACTCAAAATATGTATATATAAAAATCATGCACCGTTTTTATGGGAATCTAAATTCGTCAAAATACTTTATATTCAAACTTTTTTGTTAATATTTTTGAAGAATTTATATTATGAATACATTTAATATCTACGACCCCAACTTCACCTTTAAGTTCTTTTAATACTTTTAATTAGATTATTTTAGTATATAAAACATGTGAAACTATGTTGTTAAAAAAATCCATACAATATTGGTGTCGTGAGTACTAATCGTAAACTCATTTCTTATTTAGAAACTGTTTGCTGTTCAAATATGAAAACATTATTGCAAACAGAAACGGTAATGCGGTGGCACAAGCTTCTAAATTAAATTAGCTCGGTAAAATATGAGTTAAAC